CTACTTATTTTGTTTTTTCATATAAATTTTAGAGTAAACTTGGCTTTACTGAAAGTCATGCTGGGTTTTGATAGAAGTTTCATTACATCTAGAGATTGTTTGGGGGACATTTGATATTAAAAAAAATAAAATGGATTGGGGTAAGGTTGGTTCATAACATTATGTAAATTTCAGGCATATAACTTTGTAATACAGCATGTACATACTCGTACTCTATTGTGTTCCGTTGACATCTTTACATATTGCATCTCCAATCCATGAATAGTGTTATGGGTTGAATTGAGTCCTCCTAAAATTTATATGTTGAAATCTTAAAACCCAGTACCTCAGAATGTGACCTTATTTGGAAGTAGGGTCATTCTAAATGTAATTAGTTAAGAGGAGGTCATACTGGAGGAGCCCCTAATCCAGTGTCACTTGTGTCTTTATAAACGGGAAATGTGGACACAGACAGACACACATAGAGGGAAGATGATGTGAAGAGACACAGGGAGAATGTTATGTGAAGATTGGGTTTGTTGCCACAAGCCAAGGAACTAGAAGGAGCTGGGAAAGAGGCCAGGAACAGATTTTTTCCTTGCGCATTCATAGGGAGCATGGTTCAGCTGACACCTGAGTCTCCGACTTCTAGTGTCTAGAAATGTGAGACAATGAATTTCTGTTGTTTGAGCCACTCAGTTTGGTACTTTGTTATGGCTGCCCTAGCCATAACAAAATAAATTAATATAAGTGTATACCTGTCCATCATCAGCATTTTATACAAATCCAGTACATATTTTGTTGAGTTTATACTGTGTTTCTTTGTTTCCTAGTGATTATAAATGCATTGTTTTAGTTTAGTTCCCATATACTCATTACATATAGAAACACAATTTTTTATATGTTTTTGTTATATCCTGTAACCTTGCTGAACTGACTTGTTAGTTTTAGGAGGTGTTTCTTTGTAGATTCCTTGCGATGTTCTATGTAGACAGTAGTATCATCTGCAAATAAGGACAGTTTTCTTTTCCCCATCTCTACACCTTTTATTTCCTTTTCTTGCTTTATTTTGCTGATAAGACTTCAGTACTATGTTGAATGTGATTGTTCCCAGTCTTAGAGTTAAGAATCTAGTGTTTCACCATTAAGTATGATGTTAACTCTAGGGTGTTTGTAGATGTACTTTATCAAGTTGAGGTTACCCTCTATTTTTAGTTTGCTGAAAACTTTTAAAATCATGAATGCTATTTCTCCATCATTTGCTGTGATTATGTGAGTTTTTTTTGTTAGCCTGTTAATTTGGTAGATTACATTGATTGATTTTTTTAATATTGAGTCAGCCTTTATTTCCTGGAACAAATCCTACTAGGTTATGGTATATAATGCTTTTAATATATTTTTGGATTTAATTTGCTACTATTTTGTTAAGGATTTTTGCATTTATATTCATGAGGGATATTGGTTTATAGTTTTCTCCTCTTGTGCTATCTTTGTTTGTCTTTAACAAACAAAGTAATCCTTGCTTCATAGAATTTGTTGGGATTAGTTCTCTGCTATTTTTTGGAAGAGATTGTGTAGAATTGTTTTGGGTTTTTTTAAAGATTTTATTAGGGAATTGGGGAAGGGGAACAGTGTTGGGGAATTGGGGAAGGGGAACACCCAAGTTGTTGTCCTTCAATCTTAGTTGTGGAGGGCGCAGCTAGCTCAGCTCCAAGTCCAGTCGCCATCAGGCTGCCCCTTGGTGGCTTATAGCCGCTCAGCTTAAAGTGCCATGTTCAATTTTAGTTGTGGGTGGGTGTAGCACACCATCACATGCGGGAGTCGAACCCAGAAACCTTGTTGTTAGGAGCACGTGCTCTCACCAGCTGAGTCATCCTGCCATCTTTTGGCAGCTCAGCAACAGCTCCTCAGCTTGGGCGCAGCTCACTGGCCCATGTAGAAATCCAACTGGCGACGCTGTTGCTTAGAGCTTATGCTTTTATTTCAACCAGCTGAGCCACTCGGTCGGCTCTTAATTCTTCTTTAATGTTGGTTAAATTTTAATGAAACCACCTGGCTTGGACATTTCTTTTTCAGGAGGTCTTAAACTACACATTCAAATTTCTTTAATAGTTATAGGACTATTCAAATTATCAGTTTTATCTTGGTTGAGTTTTGGTAGTTTGTGGCTTTTGAGGAATTGGTCTATATCTAAATTGTCTAGCATATGCATAGAGTTGTTTGTGATGTTTGTTTTTTAATGTCTGCGAAGACAAGTGACATCCTCTTTCATTCTTGATATTGGCAATTTGTGTTTCCCTTTCTCTTTATCAATCTTGCTAGAAACTTACCAATCTAATTGCATTTTCAAAGAACCAGCTCTTAGTTTGAGTGATTTTTTTTAACTCTATTGCTTTTCTGTTTTCAATTTTATTGATTTCGCCTCTTTATTATTTTCTTCCCATTTGCTTACCTTCCATTTATTTTGCTCCTTTTGGCTATTATGAATAATGCTGCTCTGCTATAAACATTTATATACACATTTTTGCTTGAACACCATGTTTAATTCTTTTGGGTATGTACCTAGGCGTGGAATCACTGGACCATATGGTAATTCTATGTTTAACTTCTTGAAGAACCGCCAAACTGTTTTCCATAGTGGTTGCCTCACTTTACATTCCCGTCAACTATGTATAAGGGTTCCCATTTCTCCACATCCTTATCAACACTTGCTATTTTTTTGTTTTTTAGAATATACCTATCCTAGTGGGTGTGATGGTGTTATTGTGGTTTTGATTTGCATTTCCTAATGACTAATGACATTGAGCATGTTTTTATATGCTTATTAGTCATTGCATAACTTCTTTGGAGAAATGTCTAAGTTTTTTGCCCATTTTAAAAAAGTGGCTCTTTTGTCTTTTTGTTGAATTATAGGAGTTCATTATGTATTCTGGATATTAGACCCTTATCAGATAACTGATTTACAAATATTTTCTTCCATTTTGAGGGTTGTCTGTTTCCTCTCCTGATAGTGTCCTTTAATATAAAACAAAAGCTTTTAATTTTGATTTTGATGAAGTTCAGTTTATCTATTTTTTCTTTTGTGCTTGTGCTTTTGGTGTCATTTCTAAGAAACCATTGCCAAATCCCAGGTCATGAAGATTTACCCCTATGTTTTCTTTTACAGGTTTCATAGACTGTGCTCTTATATTTAGGCCTTTGATGCATTTTGAGTTAATTTTTGTATAAGGTGTAAGGCAACCATCTAACTTTCTTCTCTTGTCTGTGAATTTTGTCTTCGGCCTCGCAAGACCAAAGCTCTGATGGTTTTTCGGTTTGCCAGCATCAGCCTAAGCAAAATTTGATTCTCGGCCTCTTGCCTTATGCCCAGATTTAACAAATGGCTCCTTGGAAATCTGGCTGCACTAATCAGGCCACCTCATCATGCATCTCTGGTTTCTGGATTCTTGGCCCCCTGTTCTTTTCCTTCAGTAGTTCTCTTAATAGCTTAAAAAAAAAATTTAAAACTTTTTTTCTATATTTTAAAGTTTTTTGTTTTTTTTTTTTAAGATTTTATTGGGGAATTGGGGGAGGGAACAATGTTGGGGAATTGGGGAAGGGGAATAGACAAGTTGCTGTCGTTTGGTTCTTTAGTCTAGTTGTGGATGATGTCGCTTCACTGGCCCATGTTGGTATTGTGATCACTGTGCTTTTCGCGGCTGAGGCAGATCGGTCGCCGGCCATTGGACGGCCACTCACGGTGGCTCACAGTAGCTCAGGGCAGCCCACTGCAGCCTCACTGCAGCCTATGCCGTCGCCGGTGACTCAAGGCAGCCCATCTCCAGGTCGAGCTCTTGTTCACTCTTAACTGTAGAGGGCGCAGTGTCACTGGCCCATGTGGGAACCAAACTGGCAGCGCTGCTGCTCAGAACTCGCACTCCCAAAGCCAACTCTCGACCCATGAGCCACTTGGCCGGCCCTAAAGTTGTTCTTGATGAAAACATTGGTTTAACACAAAGTACCCCCTTCATACTTGGAAGTGATAATTACAGTATAGTTTTTTGTCACAAACGGTGTTATATATTGGTTATCACACTTAACTTCTTTGACGTAAGTTTCTTAAAGTAACTCTTGGTTTTCTGGTTGTATTGTGTATAGGAGAGCTCTGGAAAATATATATCAGTGTAGACATAAATTGATTCTTACTCAATAGAAAGGCCTGGTGGTGAGAATATTTGTTATCAGTTCAAAACCAGTAGTAAGTCTGAAACTATTATATAAGCAAGTGGAAAAATATTTGATAGTCAAAAGCCAAGATGCTCATTTCTTGGGATATTTGATCTATTCCTGTGATTATAATGATGATTTTAGTATGGTTTTATGTTGGAGCCACTGTTTTTTTCTTTTTGTTTTCTTAATTTATCAGCTTACAGTGTTAACTCTGTTTACATAATGTGATTTCAGAGTTTAAAGAAATTTGTTTTAAAATTTTTAATGTAAAAAGAACAAGAAAATATGAGACAAAGGTGAGAGATTTCTTCCCTACTTCCCATCCTTAAAATAACTGCTACTATAATTACTTCTTTCCTTCCCCTTCCCTTTCCTTTCACTTCTAGTCCTTTCTCTCCTATTTTATACATGTTAATTGAAGAAAATGTAGAAATTGAAATACATAAAAGGAAGAAAATTAAAATCTCTTGTAATCCCATCACCAGGCAGTAATCACTTTTAAGCATTTGGCATATATCTTTTGTGGTTTTTTCTTTGTAAAATGGATCATATTGTTATTACTGGTTCTCAGCCCTGTCTCTTCATTATCACGTGTAACAATTAAAATATACATATAGATTCTGGGATACACCTCAGACTTAACCAAATCATAATCTCCAGGGGAAGGGCTAAAAGGGTTTCGTTTAAAAAAAAATAAAAACTGTCAGAAAGTTTTTAAAACAGAAGAAAATGAATATTGCAATATTGTATATAGAAAACTTTAATTTGTATACAACTCTTTCTCTAATGATTCAATTTTAACTTTTTCCTAGCCATTCCACCCTATGGTGAATCTGGATTGTTCTCGGGATTTCCGGCCATTTCTTTGTGCACTCTATGCTCCTATTTGTATGGAATATGGACGTGTCACACTTCCCTGTCGTAGACTGTGTCAGCGTGCTTACAGCGAGTGTTCAAAGCTCATGGAAATGTTTGGTGTTCCTTGGCCTGAAGATATGGAATGCAGTAGGTGCGAAAATCATATATTTTCATGGATTGTTTACTCGTATTGCAATATATTTAAAAATTACTTGTCTTCTAGTTCATCAGTTTTTAAAAACTTTTTTCAAATATATATATTAGTCTTAAGTTTGAACAACAGTTTCATGGGCTCAGAATTATTAATTTCCTTAGGAATTTGGAAGCACTAAATAAAAAAGGTAGAAGAACAAAAATGTTTCTATGAAGAAATTTTTAAAAGAATTAAGAAAAACATAAGACATTCAGTTGCTTTTTCTCCCTGAAAAATTTTTTTCTTGTTATAAAAGTAACGCCATTTATGAAAATTAGAAAATACAGAGAAAAAATAATCATTTGTTGCCTTAAATATTTTTAATGATGATTTAATGGGACTTAAATATCTTCATTACTTTTAAATGTGTTAATGACTAAAGTAGCTCTGTCAATCCTATTTTTCTGTCACGTACTAATATACCAGACCACAAAATGTCAGATGCTTTGCTAATCATGTCCAATATATAGAATGAAAGCATTTCCTAAAGATTTGAGGATGTTTACTAAACAGTTTTATAGATTTGGATCAGAGAACATTATTAGTTGTAGTAATAATGTATACAGTAGTAATACTGTATTTCTTATATAATAACATTATGCCTTTTTGTATTCTGAAATATTTCAAGGATAAAGAATAATAAGATGAATATGTATGTACCTATTATTGTCTAGCGTTGTCCAATCTTAACATTTTGCAGTATTTGCTTCAGATTAAAAAAGAAACTATACAGGTTCTTTCCTTGGTACCTGTCTTAATTTCATTCCCTTTGTTTGTACCCAGAGATGAGTTAATCATTATGCTGAATTTGTTGTTAATCATTTCTGTTTGTTTTTATACTCTTATTGCATATATAATATCCATAAATGACATTACATTTTTTTCCATGCACCTATATTTATATCTGTAGGTCTGGCTGATTCCCTTTTAATTGCTATATCATGCCAGTTGTATTAATATCCTATAGTTATTTAGCCATCTCTGAGTGATGGTCATTTGGGTTATTTCCAGGTTGTTGCTATTATAAACAGTTCTGCAGTGAACATTTCTTTTCTTCTTCATGTTTAAAATTTAATTTTATCATTTGACAGTAGCACTTTGAGGTAGGTAAAAAGCAAGTGTTACTCTCCTTTGAAAGATGGAAAAATTTAAGAAATAAAACATTAGTTTCTTATGGTCAGTTCACTGACATTTTGCTTTCTCGTATTTGTCTACTCTGTTTCCCACCTATTTAACCACTTCTGTTATTTAGCCCCATCTAACCATTTATCCACCTTTCCTCAAACACCTGATAGTGTTTATAATCCCTCTTTTAGAAGTCTAAATTTCTTGGTGTTTATAACAGTTAAGAATTGCCTGGGCCAGAACTCTCTGTTACGTTTCTTGTATCTTACCCTTGTTGTCTAGTGGTCTTTTCCTGTTAATAGTTTATATACAAGTATATAAATCTCATTATGATCTTTATTTCTTTTTTTTTTAAAGATTTTACTGGGGAATTGGGGGAGGGGAACAGACAAGTTGTTGTCCTTTTGTTCTTCAGTCTAGTTGTGGAGGAATGGTCTTTATTTCTTGATTTGTTTTGATAGGATTAAATCTATTTTATGTCTTTACTATTGCCTGCATTGCCTAACTCTGAAATTTTAAATTTTGGCAGGCTGGTCTTTCATAACAATTTTTTATTCTTCCACATCTCTCATATCCTCATTCTTCAACTTCATGGACACCCCCAATGGCCAGACTTTTGGGGATTTTTCCCCCTCTTAATAACCTCCTTTCTGATCTCATTTATTTCCTTACTTAGCTTAAGTTTTGTGGTCCATCACTCGAAATAACACTTTTGCCAACAGTTTCAGTTCATTCCTTCCACTGTACTTGTTCAAATCCCCAAATGGATTGATTCAACCAATTTCTTGCAAATTAGTTATGCTGTTACTGAGTGATTCAAACCATAACAATTCTATTTGCTGCTTGTCTTTGGTCAATTTCCAGTTTGGTCAACAGGAAAATTTCTATTCATTTCCCTCAGCACCTGTGTCAAATCTGTATCATTCACTTCAATTCCATTTTTCATTTTTAGTCTATATTTGACCCTATTTCCCTCACCCTCAGCCTGTCCTCCTTTCCTGAGAATCAGGCCATCGTGTTTGAATTATTGTGGTCTGCTACATCTCAGACCAATTCTTCTCAATTTTCTTTATTGGATCTTCTTCATTCTGACCCTTACATACTGTTGCTTCCCAGAGTTCCGTTCCTATTCTCTTTGATTCTACATGCTTTCCCTGGATAATCTCATCTTACTGATTTTCTTTTTCTTTTTTAAAGATTTTTATTAGGGAATTGGGGAAGGGGAACAGTGTTGGGGAATTGGGGAAGGGAAACAGCCAAGTTGTTGTCCTTCAATCTTAGTTGTGGAGGGAGCAGCTAGCTCAGCTTGAAGTCAAGTCACCATCTGGCCACCCATCGGCAGCTCTCAGCTGCTCAGCTCAAGGAGCTGTGTTCAATCTTAGTTGTGGGGGAGCATAGTCCACCATCTCATGCGGGAATTGAACCGGCAGCCTTGTTTTTAGGAGCACGTGCTCTCACTAGCTGAGCCATCCTGCCACCTGTTGGCAGCTCAGCTCAGGCGCAGCTCACTGGCCCATGTGGGAATCGAACTGGTGACCCTGTTGCTCAGAGCTCACACTCTTAACCAACTGAGCCACTCGGCTGGCCCCTGATTTTCATTTTTATTTGTATACTGATGACTTCTAAATCTGTAGCCTTGACATCTTCCTGCTAAGTTCCAAACCTGCAAATCCAGCAGCCATTGGAAATCCTAGCCTGAATTTGTCTCAGATACCTCAATTTCAACATATATAAAATTGATTTTATTCCTTGATCATTTTTTTTTTCTTGGAAGTCATGTTCCTCCTTCATGGACCTTAGCTTCCATATGTAATCAATTATAAATACTATTACTTTTATCTAACTAATTTCATATCTGTTGTATTCTCACTGCCTTATGTGGTTTTAGTTCTGGCTCAACTGATATTTCTGTCCCCATTTCTGCCCAGCTCAAATCTGTTTTCCACACTGCTTCTAGTCATCTTTCTAATTTCTTGGGTTAGGGCTATATGAATATATTTATTCAACAATCATTAATTCAACAAATATTAAATGGATATCTTCTGTGTGCTGAAGATGAACAGTGAACAAAACGTAGTCTCTGTTCTTATGGAGCCAAAATTCTAGTGGTGATGGTAGTGGTGGGAGATAATAAACAGATAATGTCAGATGGTAGTGAATGCTGAGAGTAGGGTTAGGTGATAGTGCTGTACTAGGGAAGAGAAGAACTATTTTCTGTGGAGCATTGGGGAAGGCCTTTTTGATACGGAGGCATTGGAATAAGGACCTAAATGTAGTGAGAGAACACATAATATGGATATCTAGAGAAGTCCAGGCAGAGGAAATGAGCAGGAAGTGCAAAGGCTCTGAAGTGGAAGCATGCTTGGTGTATTCAAGAAACAAGGAGATCAGAGGCTGGAGCCAAGTGAGTGGGGGAGAATGGAAAGAAAGAAGATCAGAAAAGTACTGGGGGTGTGGGGTTTTTGTAGCTCTGGTACGGAATTTGGATTTGACTCTGAGTGAGAAGGGACACCATTAGAGGATTTGGAGCAGAAGAGACATGATCATGAGCACGGGAGTGGCTGCTTTGTGGAAATGGAGATCAATTGGAAGCCACTCCACAAGTCCAGGAAGGAAGTACTGATGGCTTCAACTGGGGGGCAGCAGTGGAGGAAATAGAATGACAGGATTTGTCTATATCACAAAAGAGAATGACAGTATTTGCTGGTAGATTGTGAGGTACTATATGTAAGAGAGAAGGGACTTCAAAGATGACCCCAGGGTTTTTGGCCTGAGCAACTAGAAGAATGGAATTACCACTGTGGAGATGGAGAAATACAAGGAGTAGAAATCAGGAGTTTGGTTTTGGAAAGGTTAAAGAGTAAGGGATGTGTATATGTTCAGTTGGCAGTTGGATATACAAATATATTAATAAAAATATATAGTATTACTTTGCATGGTTTTAAATGTTGTCATTGTTTATATATACATACATACACACAGAGACACACATACACATATATTTCTGCAACATAGTTACCTCTCCAATCATACCTCTTGTCACAAGTCATGCATACCTCATTATCCAGCAGCACTAAACACACCCTGTTTAAACCTCTATGCCTTTGCTGGTGTTTCTCGCTAGAATACTGATTGGCATATTTCCAATACTGCCAAATACTGATTCGAAATCCTGTGTTGAGGGATTTACTCTATAAAGTCTTTCATAACCTCTCCCCCTGAAATAATCCTTCTCTCTGTCATTTTTATACTTTATATAGATTTTGATTGCTTCATGTATCACACTGCTGTATTTTGTGTTGTGTTTACAAGTTTGTGTCTCCTTTTAGACTCAAGGATAAAGACAGTGGTTTTTTTGTTTATGTTAAACCCCTGACATACTGCAGGATTCCAGTAAATTTCTGAACGCAATAAGTTTCTGTCTTTTGACTTTGTAATTCCAAGCTCTGGGAAGAAAATGGTTTGTATTAGAAAATAAAACATTACTCTGCAACAGCATAAGGTTATGCGTGTATTTGGCAAAGAATATCAATGATAGTTTCTTGGAAACTATTTGATGCATATCAACTAGTAAACATCTAGTTAGTGGGAGTCTGAAGAGTTAAAAATGGCAACCTTTTCAGCACTTCCAAATAGTAAACTTGGTTAACTGTTTGTCTAGTTGGTACAAATTCATAATGAATAATCCCTTTGATATCAAAAAAGGTTAGTAACATTGTTGCAATAGGTTGGTGAACTTAATTGTCAGACCTCCTGTGTATGTATGTGTGTGTGTGTGTGTGTGTGTATTTATATTTATTTATTTTATTTATATTTTGAACTCTTACTCTAAACTGTGTGTCCTAAATAGTTTATATATATATTTTTATTGATGGCTGTACTTGACTATTTTAAGAAAGAATAGTGTTTTTAAAACCAAAATAAAATTAAGTATAAAACCGTATCATTTTTGGTCAACTGTGGAAAAATCTAGTTGTATGGCCCACGCAGAAGATATCTTTCACTTTATTCCTACTTATTGTAATGTGCTCTAAGGACATAAGAATAAATACTGATAAGGCCACAAGTGCTAAATTTGGAAATCCAAATTATTAGGTGGCAGTAGATTTCCCAATAAGTAAAATGGTTCTCATCTTGTATTTTATAGGTTCCCAGATTGTGATGAGCCATACCCTCGACTTGTGGATCTGAATTTAGCTGGAGATCCTACTGAAGGAGCCCCAGTGGCAGTGCAGAGGGACTATGGTTTTTGGTGTCCCCGAGAGTTGAAAATTGATCCTGATCTTGGTTATTCTTTTTTGCACGTGCGTGATTGTTCACCTCCTTGTCCAAATATGTACTTTAGGAGAGAAGAACTTTCATTTGCTCGATATTTCATAGGATTGATTTCAATCATTTGCCTCTCTGCCACGTTGTTTACTTTTTTAACTTTTTTGATTGATGTCACAAGATTCCGTTATCCTGAAAGACCTATTATATTTTATGCAGTCTGCTACATGATGGTATCATTAATTTTCTTCATTGGGTTTTTGCTTGAGGACCGAGTAGCCTGCAATGCCTCTAGCCCTGCACAGTATAAGGCTTCCACAGTGACACAAGGATCTCATAATAAAGCCTGTACCATGCTTTTTATGGTACTCTATTTTTTTACTATGGCTGGCAGTGTTTGGTGGGTCATTCTTACCATCACATGGTTCTTGGCGGCTGTGCCAAAGTGGGGTAGTGAAGCTATTGAGAAGAAAGCATTGCTGTTTCACGCCAGTGCATGGGGCATCCCTGGAACTCTGACTATCATCCTTTTAGCGATGAATAAAATTGAAGGTGACAATATCAGTGGCGTGTGTTTTGTTGGCCTCTACGATGTTGATGCATTAAGATATTTTGTTCTTGCACCCCTCTGCCTGTATGTGGTAGTTGGGGTCTCACTCCTTTTAGCCGGCATCATATCCCTAAACAGAGTTCGAATTGAGATTCCATTAGAAAAGGAGAACCAAGATAAATTGGTGAAGTTTATGATCCGGATTGGTGTTTTCAGCATTCTTTATCTCGTACCACTCTTGGTTGTAATTGGATGCTACTTTTATGAGCAAGCTTACCGTGGCATCTGGGAAACAACATGGATACAGGAACGCTGCAGAGAATATCACATTCCATGTCCATATCAGGTAAGGGAATCCTTGTTCTAAATTTCAGAATGTGTAATAGTAAAAAGAAGGCATGTTACTATAAAGAGCTATTCTTAGCTGGATTTTTTTTTAAACTCTTCATGAACCTTCAGTTTGTACATTAAAATTTTAAAGTGAAGATAAATATATTGTAAGAAAGTTATACACGTTTCTATAAAATCTTCCTTTTAAAAAATGACTTTTATAAGCCTAAGCTATGGGCTTTTAAGCAGTTTACTTCTGTTATCACTAAACAGTTGCTTGTTGATTCTTTAGAAGTCTGCAGGTTTGAGGGGAAGACGCACTTTACCAGCTCTGATAAAAAGGCACTGTCTTGTGGAAATTTTACTGATGTTCAGAACAGGAATGAATTGTTTTAACAGTTTTGCAAAAGTAATAGAATGCCGATGTACAAACTAGTTCATCTCTTAATTGGTCTTGGTGCTTCTCTTTTGTATACTGAATATTTTGTGATTTACCTTTGAGTTTAAAGATAATCAGATAATCATAGTCATAGAATCATAGAATTTTAGACCTAGAAAGAACTATAGAGATCATTTATTTAGGCTCTCTTTATAATTTAGAGTTCTTAAACATTTGTCTCATTCAGGGCTTAGAAATGTATACTAACCTGCTCACACTCAGCTGGGATTTAGTCCTATGAGAGGAGTGGAACAAAGAAAGCAGTTCAGAAGAGTTGATGCTAAGTATTCATCTCTCATCTTAAAACCTTCTCTGGAACTTATGCCACTAGCTATTACCCACTCTTCTTCCTTTTAAGACTAGTTTTCTTGAAAGAGTTGTCTTCTGTTTATCACGTTCCAGGTTTCCTGTTCTCAAAGTGCACCAGCCACCCTTTCATCTACCCCAATCCTTACGTTTCGCTAATACTTTTGAAATATCTACATTAAAATACTTATAGGTAACTTTGACTGTCTATTTCCCCTGCTAGATGGTGAACCCTTTGAAAGCAAGAGCTTCTTTTTCATGTTTTTGAATGCATATTCTGTAGGTTAGTAGAAGATAGCATTGAGAATGTGGGTGTCTAGATTTAGAAGAAGAGACATATTTAAGAAAAGATAACAGTGGTACTGGGGACAAGGAGTGTGTGATTAGCACATAGTCAAAGCTCATAAATATTTGATGACTGAGAATGCCAGTACCCCTTTTATTTTGTGGTATAAATAGTCCTGTACAAAATTATATTTTTATTATGTAAGTATTAGCTACTGGCTTTTAAAAAATACACCAACTCATAATTAAGAGACCAGAAAAAATGAATAATTGAAATTGTATTAAATTTCTTAACAGAATTATGTATTAAAAACTGTTATTATGAGTTTTCAGACCTGAAAGTGATTGAATTTTGCCTCTAATGAAAGAGAAGGAAATGGTCAAATTATATCATATGCTTCCCCATATAAGTTTTCTAGGATTCCAAATATATATTACCTTAGGGCTATTGAAGAAATAATGTTTGACTATGAAATAATGATCCTGAGCCAGCTGAGTGGCTCAGTTAGTTAAGAGCTCACTCAAGAGTGCAAGCTCTGAGCAACAGGGTCGCCAGTTCAATTCCCGGCCCAAGCTGAGCTGCCGCTGAGCTGCCAACAGGTGGCAGGATGGCTCAGCTAAAAATAAACAAACAAACAAAAAAATTAATAAAGATAAAAAAAATACCAAACCTCAAACCATGTAAGTTAGAGTAATTGGGAGGCTGCTATTTTCAAGACATTCCTAGAATTCTTTTAGCATCTTTAAAGCCAGTTTAAGCTACACAGAAATGAGTGTGTGTGCACGTGCACTTGCATTCTTTTATAGTCATAGGTTAAAAATGTTTCCTTCCAAGATACAGAAATACCATTGAATTTCCAACATACTGAAAAGAGTGAGAATGGGGCTGGCCGAGTGGCTCAGTTGGTTAAGAGCTCGCTCAAAAGTTTGAGCTCTGAGCAACAG